TTATGCCACGATGTACTGCGACGACCTGATAATATATATGCTTTTTTTTGGTGGTGCAATAAATACAAAAAACAATTACCATGTTACTAATGGTTTTGATCATAACCTCAACTTGATGGACAATCTGATGGTGCTGACTGATCACTAATTGAAAGCAATGTAACCTTCTTATCTGGACTGCGGTAATTATCATGTTAATTAGATTATCATGCTATCAATTAACAATTTGGAAATAACGTAAGCAAGCTGTCACATCGGCGATGAATGAAAATGCCCTGCATTGATTGCAAAACTTGTTCTGAGAAAGAGGAAAAATAAACACCTTACAACTAATAAGTATTGATTGTACTTGTAACTGCAGATTATGGTGCTTGTGTTGAAGCGGAAGTTGCTTATAGCAATCTGCTTGGCTTATGTATATTCATTAATTACAGTTTCTAGTCGCCCCACTTAGTACTACATTTCGTGCTCCGCTGTTAATAAAAAAAAAGCATCTGACTCGTTATAAGACAACTAGACAACTAAAACTTAGAAAGACTAACTAAGTGCGTAATTCAACAAAGGCCGGGTAATAAAGTTAACAGAAGAACAAATGCTTTTTTGTAATTCTATTTTAACACGCGAACGAGAACGTGGCAAAAACCAAGAAAACCCAAAACAAAGTAGGTCCACTAGCATAGCACAAAGGCAGGAGGGAAGCAACATTAAAAAGAATAATAGAAAAGTTGTATGTTTTGGAGAGGAGGAGGGGAGTTCATGCGTAGTGGGGAGAGAGGGGAAGGGGAGAAGGGACGTGACGGAGGGCCGGAACAAGGAAGGGAGGGCAGCACAGCATAATGCAAGACTTTATATGTTCCAGCATGAACGCAAATCCTGGATTTCATTTTGTAGTGATAAGAAGGAAAGGGGGCAAGAGAGAGTGTTTTTCTGTGTCCCTTCACTCGTTTACTTTCTGTTTGTTGTTCTCAGTGGCAGCTTGCTAGGGCTTCAGCACACTGTACGCCTTGGCCCGGCTGGGCAAATAGTCCAACTATCCCCCACCCCTTCAAGCCAACCCCCCCCCCCCACCCCCCATAAACATCCCCCACATCCAGTCACATATGGTCTGTCCATGCATATGAGAGGTCCAAACACGGTAGTGACATCACACGCACGACACGCAATGCGGATGGGATGGAGTGGAAGCCAGCCTCAGCCCAGGAGAAGCCCCTCTTTGACGGGGAGGCGGGGGGGGGGGGGAGAGGGACGGAGGGGAGGATGGAGGAGGAGGATTGTGGGGATGAAGGGAGGAGAGGGAGAAGCAGCAGGCAGGTATGAAGGTGAGGAAGCCATCTCTAGTAAAAAAAAGAGCCAACCAAAACCATAAGTGGGAAAAACAATAATCTGTAGATAAGTCTTCAAAACAGCGATCTTATAAATGTAATGCATTGTTATTTTCTTCAAGGTAAATAAGAATAAATAATCAACAGCAATGAGAAAAGGAAATGTGTCTCACCTAAGATAGCAGTTGGCACAAAGGGATCTGCTCATACCCCCATAACAAGTGCAGAAGTTGGAGGAGGAAAGAGAGTGGCAGTGAATAAAAGCCAAGAAAAACAAAAACAAGACAGTTTGTTGGTTTCCTGCCAAGCAGCCATAACAAGAAACTTATCATATTTTCCAGCTAAACACCAAGTTTAGTTGATTATAAATCTAGCTGCCCTCTGCTCCATCTGATCAATGAGCTGTGATCTGATTACACAAGACACACAATTATGATTGGCTTTCTTTCTGGAGAAATTAAAGTCATGATTGAACAGCTAAATGCAAAATGAACTAAAAACACTTTTGGTTATAACTGGAGATGTAGCAGAGTGTAAAACCCATCCAAAGTCAATTTATCTACCTTCTCATTTGTGAAATTGTTTCCTAATTTATTAAAACACCTAAATGCATTCACACCACACATTACTTTATTAGTATGCAATTTACATAAAAAAAGGCTCTTACCGGGAACATAAAACTAATTAACACTTATTTGGCAATATTGTCTCTTGTTAATTTATCCTGACAGCCTAGGTTTCATGATGACTGAATTGAACACCTTCTATAGCGAACACTTCTCTGTTGACATACAGGATTATCAGAGGAAATACTGCGTGTTTACCTGGGTAGTAGGAGTTGGGGGGGATTGAAGTACTGAGAGTGTTGGCTTTAGGCAGAGTGAAGGAGGAGGGGGGTGATCCGACTAGAAGTGGAGAAAAGAAAACACAAGAGGATCAATAGTCTGGTATCGCTTAGTGGTGGAGGTAGTATTCAAAACGTATACCTTAAGGAAAGAAAGAAATACCACGATGAACAAGAATGTCAATTATATTATCATTACCTTCGCCCAAGGAGGTAATGTTTGTTTGTTTAAAACGTGGTGGCACGGGCTAACGAAGAATCTGCTATATTCTGGATTGTCTGAATCCCAAATGATTATTATTGTAAGATAGGGAGGTTTTTCTTCTTCTTCTCCTTCTAGTTACAACATGTTTTTATCACTTACTCTATGGTTAATGTTATTTTTTTAAATAATACATGTTATTTATATAGCGCTTTTCCTGGTGCTCAAAGCGCTTGAGCACATCAACACAACTCCATTGACCTTGGTGGCGACAGTAGAAATCTTGAGACCTTGTGAGGATAAACAAATATTGCAATGATAATGGAAATTCATGGGTGATGGAATTTCAACCACTTATTCAAAAGATATAACAAATATTCAATTTTGATATTTTTGACAACGCTATTGTGTTGCATGAACACACACATGTGACTGTGAGGTAGTGTGGCCTTCTCTCAATCGGAGAGTTGTGGGTTCGATCCCGGCCCTACAGTCAACAGGTCAGACCAAACAGGGCTTCTTAGTGACCGAGAAGTAGATAACCGTCTGTAGAGGATTTTTAAGATGATGTTCCTGATATGATGTGATATTATAGATTTTTATCTCAATGAGACTTTCCTGGGTAAATAAAGGTCAAATAAATAAATAACATGTCAATGAGTTCCTCCAGATGGCATGGCCAACAGTGGGTGAATGTGTGTGAATGTTAGCTTCCTTGCACACATTGCTCTGTATGAATGGGATGTGAATGGGTGAAGGATGACTTGTACATGTAAAGAGCTTTGAGGTGTTGTAATGTTTGGATAAAACGCAGTATAAATACAGTCCGTTAACCACATGTTACAGGACAATCATATTACTTAACATGCCAAAAGTAATGTACATAAGTTAAAGGTGGGGTAGGTAATTTTGGAGAAACCAGCTCGAGTGCGCTAGAATTTGAAAATACACAGCCGGAAAAAATCTGCCACTTCCTTACAGGGCCCCTCCTCCAACACACACGAACGCGCACATGACCAATGAGGGCACGAGATAAGTTTGTGCACAGATGGAAGGCTGACAGGCAGGTAGGCCATCCAGACTGCCAAGGCACACCGGCTAAAATGATTGGTCGTGCTTTTTACAGAACTACGGCTTCCACAGATGAAAGCACTTAAGATATTCATTGCTATCGTGATGTTAAGAGCATTCCATGGAATATAACAAAAAGTGTATCTCGAGCCGGTTTCTCAAACTTACCTACCCTACCTTTAATTGTTCAGTTTTAAAGTACACCAAATCTCTAAGCTGGAGAGCATATGAGGTTACAAGTTTTAAAAGGAATTTCTAGATGAATGCCTGTAAAGTCAGACATTCAAGCACCGGCTAAAACAGCAGTTAATTTTTCTGCTGCTTACATGAGGATCATTGTGTTCAGCTGCCAGTTTCTGCAGGTCCAGCAGGGATTGGTTTACATTTTTTTCCAGCTGCAAGGAACAATCCAGAGCCTCCAGGCTACTCCCCCACTCATCCCTATCAGGTTTCTGAGATGCACATAAGAAATTCAGCAATTCAACACTGGCATAATTTTACAAAAATACCCAACAGATATATTAATAATTATATACTAAATTGTCAGTTAGGGTCCAAGTACCAAACTAAAACGTATCACCAAAATGCAATAATGGAAAAACAATGAATTGCAAATCTTCATCAAAAACAGGACTTTGTATCAGTAGTACACACCCTAATGTCCTGCAGAAAAATGTTGCCTCCACGCTGGTTCTGCAGACTCATCAGCTTCTCAGCATGCTCACGCTCCTCTTTGGACTGTGTGTGGAAAAACTTTACAAAATTTGGAAGGGATTTATCATCCCTATCAAAATAGTATGCCTACAAGACAAAAAAAAAAGAAGACAAAAAATATTTTATATTTTTGAGCTTAATGGGACACCAACAACAGTGAGCAGTGAGCTTTGAACAGAAAAGATGCACATTGAATTGATTTTAGTGCATTTCTTACCATGGAGAGATAAACATAGGAGGCATATAGCTCCAGGTTTATTTGCCTGTTAATGGCAGCCTCACAGTCCTGGTGGAAGTTTTGTCGGATTTGTGAACTCATTTCTGCATAAATCACAACAATAAATAAAGGAGAAATGTGATTCAGTATGTTATAAACACATTATACAAGTAATACAGGATAAGACATAAAACCACACCATCTAATATCACTGCAGACATCACGATACATTATTATTTTATTAAATGTTTAATTGTTTGTGTCACTGCGACTCCTGCTAAATGAAAGGATTTTATAAGTAAAATGATGGATTAATTTGTCCAAGTGTTGAGATGACCTTGAAAAGTCTGTCTTGACACCCACAATGGACGCAGGGTGCAGAATTATCTTTATTGTTCACTGGCACATGGGTAGAGAATAATAACATTCGACTATCCACTCGATGGATTACCATTAGTTTTGAATTGTGAATGATGCAAATCTAATATCCACTTACACATTTTAACAGCATTTGACTGTTTCATGTTATGCCCTCAATTGAGGCACATATGATTTCAAAAATAATTTACATTTTAATATTAAGAATTGTTTACATACAACACCTTTCCAATTTAATGCACCTCACCAGTTTAGTGGAACTATTATGACTAAATGAATAAAGTGCCCTTTCCAGGTCTGTGGATTGTGCTGATTTGATTGCATCAACCCCTGCATTGATATTGATCCACACCCCACTGACCTTCATCTCACAATAACTTAATGGCATGCTGGGAAACTGATATAATGTACTTTTAAGTGTGACACCATTGGCAACAAAGCGCAAAAAGCTATTAAAATGTTAATTATTGATGGAGTTAGCAGCGTTAGTTACTCTGTTACACAAGGTGGCTAACGAGCTATGCTAACTACAAATTACTCTACCATAGATCCATGGTTACCGTTGCTAGGCATTGCTAGCTAGATCTCCATCATCTCAATCTCAGACACTCCGACAGACAGCTGACAATTTACATGCCTGCTAAAAACGTACCTGGTTTGTAGATCTCGGACGTTTCACACTCGTCGCAGGTTCTGAAGCAGTTCAATTTGTAGACAGAAGTTTTAAGACTGTCTGACGTTAAGTTACCCACGCACTGCCGTCATAACGTGGGGCGGTGGCTCCTCAGATGATGGCAGTTAAAGGGATGGGTCATGTTATTAATAAGACATGTGCACATTGAAACTGCTACATTTAAATGAACTATTTAACTACAATAAACATGTTAATCTAATACAGCTCCGCCGATCCACTAGCTCCCCATCGTGCGGTGGTTTTGAAATGCTCCCGATTTCTGAGGTCTCAAGGTTGGCAAGTATGCCATAACCCCATCAGATGTTAAACTTAAAAAGTATATGCTGCTCGCTGTCATGGTTTGCAGCTAAAGCTAGTCAAAAATCCTAGTAGGATTTAAATGTGATGAAGACGTCGCTTTTCAAAACGAACTTTAACCACACAAGTGTGTTAAAAATTATTTAACCCTTCTCTTGCGTTTCGGGTCAAAAGGGACCGAATGACTTATTTTAATCATAAATGTTGTGTTTTTCATCCAATTGCCTCAATACCTTATGTTATCCTCCACACTAGGCCTCTGAACATATACACTTGATCACCACTTGCATTGGATTTTGAGTGATTTATTCAACAGTGAAACACCATTGATGTTTTCGGTCAGATTTGACCGCCATAGGAAATGAATGGGTATGAGTGTATTATGTTCATCCTACAGATGGAAAACATCTATATACAGACACACACGTTACGGGAACCTCTCCCTTTCTCGCGCTGGATGATACAATGTATCATACCTTCTCACAGGTGCTAGCTATGTGCCCCTTGAGAAACACAAGCCTCTCACTTTCTCGCGCTAAATGCGCCTCCCTTACTGGCTCTCAAGCAGTTATATTTGTGCCTTGCTCACATTTGACTGACACAATGAGCAGGCGACCGATTAGGCAATTTTCTGTACGAGAGGCTCTGGACATATTTTTTGAACCAGATGAAGAGGAGATAGAGGAAGATGTCTCAGAAATGGAAGACAACAGCGATCCAGACTATGAGCCTACATCAGACTAGGAAGAGGCCCCTGAGGGAGAGGTCCCTGATATAGAGGCCCCTGATATAGAAGCTGCTGAGGGAGAGGAGCCTGAGGTGACATTCCACCATTTTGCATTGCCAACCATGTGCTTGAACACCCACACACACACGCTCTGTTATATTTCTCTTTCAATAAATGTTCGTTGAAGAAAACAGTATCAGTGTCTTATTTTATATTCATCACAGTGAATGCTGAACTTGATGGGCCCACCGGTGGGTCCGGACCATGACATGAAATACTGGCTTGCTTGTATCAAATCAATACATCCCATACATCATTGGAACGGGAAGCATCTCAGCTACAACACTAACTAAAGCATTTCCATCTCCAGTAAACACAGCCTAAATGGCAAGCATTTTTATAATATACAGTAATGTAAAATAAGCACTATCTTTGATATACTGCCAAAAATAATATGACATTCACCCCTGGTGTCATTCTGTCTGTCATCCCTTGATTCTACTTGCTTTTACTGTTCAAATGAGATGTCAACCATCAAAATTGGATAAGGGGTTCCAGAGGTATCACTGTGAAAAACACAGCGGCATGGGAAGGGGGGGGTATGACCTAACGCAAGAGAAGGGTTAAAGACGCATAATAAAAACACATTTATTTTTGGCACCTGGTAAATATAGAACAGTTACCTGAACACAGGTATTTTAGCACTGAGCAACAATACAGAAACATTATCAAATACAATCAAAAGCTGAAACCTGGATTACATTTTTAATAAATCCCAAACATAAAAATCCATCATTTACAGTCAGTACAGATTATACAAATTAAAGCTTGTACTTGGCCACCCTTTCAACATTCACATCACATTTATAATACACAGCAATGTTCAAGTCCAAGTTGAAGGGTGTCAGTGTACAGACATTACTTCCTTCCATGTGGAGGAGAGTGCCACACAGCAGAGCTGGTGCGTTTAAAATAGCGAGGCTTTTTCTTGTTAAAGATGGCTTCCAGTTTTGGTGCTTCAATTATTCCCAAATAGTTTTCAAAATTAGGAGGGTTGAAGTACTGTTTCACAATGATCTGCTGCAGCATGTGACCTGGGAGGGGAAACGATTTAAATACAACGTTTAAGACAACAGAACTTGAGACCCACATCACACTGTGACATTGGGAATACATAAATAGGTCTGGTAAACATTCAGTTATATTAATAATGATAACCGAATTTAGGAATAGGTCAAAAGATTACAATTGACTATTGGCTCATAATTATTTTTACATCATGCCTACCTTCTGCCCATGATGGGATAGGTTTCCTGGGCGCAGACTCATCATCCGTTGAGTCGTCACTGTTTTGGTCCATCCCATAATCCTCTGCAGTTTTGGACATGGTCGGTTTGTTTCGCCCCTTTGGAGTGAGGGAGTATGATTGTGGGGATTTCTGCAGAGGGTTAAAAAACACACTTTATAAGACTTTGCTCTGATTAGAAATGATTTCCATTATGTAGAAACACAATTATTATTATTTATATGTACCTCCAAATCCACGGTCACATTTAAGCCAGCACCTTTTCCTCCAGGAGTGTTCAATACAGAGCGCTGCAGGGAGCAAGAAGAAAGTGGTAAATGTATATCTTACACAGCTTACAGCTTTCCCTGAGAGGTTTTAGACTTTCCATGTTTATCGGGAGATTTTAAAACAGATTTTCTGATTTGATGTCAACATTCTTACCTCAATATCCACAGTCACATTCAAGCTAGCAGCAGCCTTCTATACAGAGGAGAGAGAGAAAAAGTACATTTAGCTCCTCATTAGTCCTTGAAATGTAAATATGATGCTTGTCTTAATGCGTTTGTTTTGATGTGATAAAATCTAAAAATGACGGTGATGTAAACTCTTAAATTCTGAATCACCTGTCTGCACAACAAATCTACCATTAGATACTAATAAAGAAATGTTGAAATAGTTAACTGAGGATATTTATGTATGTGTTGCTTCTTATCTGCACTACAGCTTAATGTCCTCTTGCAGGTTTACCTGTGCTTCAGCAGCCTTTTTAGCAGCAGCCTCTCTCTCTTTCGCAGCCGTCTCTACTGCAGCTGATCTCAGCTGCTCCTCCTAGTGGAACAAAAAGCACATTAACAACCAGACAGCTGAGCAGCCAGAATAACAAACCCAGAGTATAGAATTAACTTTCCATGGACGTCAGCATAACATGAAGGTCCTGATGAAAGCCAACGATACATTAACAAGCGGTTTGCAGGATTCACTAAGTTACATAAGATGAACCAATGGGAAAATGTATCATTAACTTTTGCAGAAAGTTTTCCCTAAAATCATAATTTGCATAAAATGCTTCCTGGGTTCTGTACCAGCAGTCGTGATAGAGAAAGTTCAAATCACCAAAAAAGAAGACGCCATTTTACAGACTGCTGCACCCTAGGAATGAGCGATTAATATATTTGAAATCGAAATTTGAAATGATGCAATTATCAAATCACAAAGCCTGCGATTTGTTTGTTTTTGTGCTCTTCTTGTGTGTCAGTCATCCACACCAATCAGAAGTGCTGTGCTCCACATGTACCAGTCATTGTTAACCAATCAGAAGTGGCCCATGATAGTAGGTGATAGAGAGATTGATCCAATCACCTGCCAAGTATTTTTGAAATAAAAATACTTGGCAGGTGATTGGATCAATCTCTCTATCACCTACTATCATGGGCCACTTCTGATTGGTTAACAATGACTGGTACATGTGGAGCACNAATAAGGTCAGACTGAAGCACTCCTTTGTGCATCAGTCAATCCTCACAGTAAACACAGAGCTGATCCCAGATCAGATGCACGCTGAAGGCTCTTTGAGCATGTTTTCTCTCACTGATTGTGCTGTTATGTTCAATGTTTGTTGTTTGTGTTTCATGTATTGTGTCTGGATACTTGTCTGTTGATGTTGGACATGGAGCTGCTGTGACGCAAGTCAAATTTCAGACTTGATCTGACAAATAAAGTATTATCGTATCGTATCCTCTATAGGGCTGCATACTTCATGTAGATTTTATCACATGACTTCACGTCACCCTCGCTAAGCTAAAGGAGGCTAATGTTAGGCTATAAAGGAACTACATCACGGTCACGTGACTTCATGTCACCCTCGCTAAGCTAAAGGAGGCTAATGTTGATGCATAATTTAATCTTACCAAAGGAAAACGTCGTCTAATTGAGTTAAAAACAACACTCGTTTTACTCTTCAAAATAAAAGCCTCGTAGCTCGATGGAAACATCACAATAATGGTTTTAAAATAACATTAAAATGTCATTTATTTTTGTATATGTTTTACTTGATGTATTTTTCAGGATCATGATGATGTGTGATGATGTGTAGTGTCTCTAAACAATGAATGAATCTAAGATATTGTGTATTTCCCCTGCAGGAGAAGGTGCTGCACAACATCATGCCCATCTTCACCTTCATGGGGGCTAACATCCTGCGGCTGGACGACGCCTACAGCTTCAGAGTCATCGAGCAGACGCTGACCATGGTCATCCCTGCACTCATACAGGTGGGGAATATTACAAATATGAAAGTAAATCATGAGTAAATAATAACACCAGTACTTTATAATAATAATAATAATAATAATATAATATATAAATAAAATAAATAAATAAATAATACTCGTACGGGTCGGAAAAGAGGTTTTGTTACAGTAAATCATGTTTAAAAATACCCACCTGTACATGTAGGGAAGATTAAGACCTCATATGATTATTTTTGTATTATATGGTTATATAAATGATTCTTATAAATAAAATTGTAATGATAATAAATATTCTCTCTTTTTTTTTTAGAAGTGGTTTTGATTATTTAAAAATATAAATAATTAATTTTTCTCTTTCTTTAAAATATATTTATATATCTTCCAGGCCCACCAGCTCTCTGAGGGAGGCTCCTCCCCCTCCCTGGTTGCCGTGGTGACGAGGATAGTGCACGTGTTTGTGGACGCTCTCCCTCACGTCCCCGAGCATCGAAGGCTGCCCGTTCTCCATCAGCTGGTGCAGACGCTAAGCCCCGCCCCCTTCCTCTGGATCCTCATGCTGCTCCTCTTCAAGCTCCACGCCTCTTCCTCAACTGCAGTCAGCGGGAAGGTAAAAGCACGGCATTCTGGGAGACGTAGTTCCTCTACAATAACATGATTCCTTTTAGCCATGTTTACATTTCAATCAATGACTTTTTCTCTTGTATTATAAGATAAGATGGAACTTTATTTATCCCTGTGGGGAAATTCAGGCGTTTCTATCAGCAACAGGGTCAGAGTTAAAAAAACAAAAACAGGATACACACAAGGTAAAAATAAAAATACAATACAAAAGGTAAATAATAATAAAAAATGTTTTTTAAATTGATAAAGTAACTATTGAAACAAGATATCACAGTAAAACGTTGAGCATTTGAATGAACATGTTAAATATATTTAACTAAGTATGCAGATGTGAGTGCAAGTTAAAGTCGTGTATGTGTGGTCTCTCGGTACTCTCAGTACATTCTGGTATTAACTTGTGAAAGCTCTTATTTAAAGAGTCTACTTTAGTTCCTTGTATTTGTTATTTAAACCGGTGCCTTTGTGGCCTTTTGTTTTGATTGTGGCTGTTTGTTGCCAAATTAGTGCAGCTTTCATTAAAACAACTTCCTATTTTACCAAAAACAACCGGTCATATGTTACTTTCCCACGAGCCGGGATGTAACTGTGTGTGTGTGTGTGTTTGTGTAGAAGGCCGCTCTGGAGAATGACGTGGAGTTCTGGATTTCTCTGTGCTGTCAGTTTGATGTCAGTGATCAGCTGACTTCGCTCATCAACATCCTCAACTTCCTGCTGCAGCTCCCTGAGGACAAAGACGACGGTAAACCTAATAATCTAAGATGTGACATCACTATGTAACACTCGCGCTCCTATTACAGGGTGTCCGCGGGGTCTTAAAAAGTATTAAAAGTTGATAAATCAATTTAGCGAAAATTAAGGCTATTAAAAAGTATTAAAAAGTATTAAACGGCATTTTCCAAGGTATTAAGAAGGTTCACAGCAACGACAACATGAAACACCCTTTCATTTACTGAAACGACATGTTGGGAAACCCCCCAAGGCGGCCCCATGCATAGCGCGCCGTAAAATGCTGCTTATTATTTTAAATTTCGTTGCCTTACTCCGCTCTGTGGGGGGGTCCAAGGTGGGTAGACCGGCATACGCAACGCTCTGGGGGTCCAACGGCTCCGTGTGTAAGCCCTATATGATCATTTTCTGATAACGATGAAATAGCCCGCCTCCCTCTCCCCACGTCTCCTGCTGCTGCTGGGCTGTCAGAAGAGGGGGAGGAAAAGAGAGGGAGGCACCGTTTATTAAATATGATTATACAGAGAACAGAGTCGTTATCAATTTGTTTTAAAGCTCAATAGATAACAAAGAAGACCTCTGACCGGCACTTTTCTAATTTTGTACGGAAGATTTAAACTTTAACGGACATGTTGACCGGCGGAACATTTTTTTTACGGAAACTCTGCCGCACGGTTCCCTCGTTCCTTGGAAGAGGCGGAGAGGTGGGTGTTTTTCATCTGCTGGTGGACTACCTGAGAGATACAGCAGGAGAACACGTCGTCCACCGCGGAGAATAAACAGAAGGGCGACCATGGCAACCATGATCCGGGGTCTTCTTCGCTGCTTTTGGTGTATTTTGTGGCGGCAGCAGCGCCACTTACAGGCCTGACATATGTACTACATCGTTTCCAGGATTTCCAGCGGTCTAGTGTGAACGGACACGTTAATGAATTGAATGCGTTTGAACGGAAGACTTTTTTGCGCTTGCGTATGC